CCGTGGGTAATTCCGCGGGGTGGGGCGAATTCGGCCCGCCTCGGTGCGAGCCGCCCTCCCGAAGCGCGGCGGACCCGGGAAACCGAAGCGCCGCGGTGGCATCGGAGGCGCGGGCGAAGGGGGCACCGCGGGGTATCTTCCCGGGCTGGCATTTGCTGGGGGAGGCCAGGCCTTTGCCTGGCTCAGGGTTCAGGGCCGGTGGGAACCTCGCAGACGGTGAATCGGGTGCCCAGTTTGAAAGGGTGGTGGAGAAGCAGAAACGGAGTTCGTCTGCATTTTTTCGCGCACCCGTTTGCAGACTGGCACAGCCTCCCGGGATTTCTTTGGATCTGCGTCCCTGCAGCGGGCAAACCCGCTTAACCGCGGTTTATGCAATCAACCACCAAGGGCGAACCCAGATTTTTGGTGGGTGGGGTGGGGTGGGGGGTACGTCGGCTGTTTCCTACCAAGGAGACTGCGATTGCAACTCGGATCGCATCAGGGACCAGGTTAGGCAAGGACAGACCAAGATGACGCGGGACAACCGTCTTTTCTGCCTTATTGGGGAACCCAGAATGGACTCTCCTTCAAGGCCACCGGATCCGAACTTCAGAAGTCTGGGGGGGCTACTATGCATCAACCGTAAAATCGTTCAGCATCTGTAACTGTACAGTATCTGGATTCAACTGGGGTTGGTTTTAATTGGCACTGAATTTACGAAACTAGCAAAAAGCTGCTTCTATAGCATGGGCTCAATCTAGTGGAACATCCAAGGACCTCATTTTCAAGAGGGTTTTTTGGGGGGGGGATGGGGCTGCATTATGACTTCTGTTGGCCCTGGGTGTTCTTGCGTTCATAGGCCCCTCTCTCCTTAAAAATTATACTTCCTATGGTTTCCAATAGTTTCTTCACATTTTTAGACAGACATAGGGAATGGTAAATGATGTATGTATTATTCTGTAATAATAATATTGCGACATGCACAGAGGTGGGGAGGGTATCCCCCAAGCATGGAGATAGCTAGCCCCATAGTGGCCTCCTGTCTTCAGCCTCAGATTTTTCATCTTCTTGGACTCTCCTTCCCCTTTTTTAGTAGTATTTTATGTATTTATATATATTTATGTTTTTAATGTTGTGAGTCGCCCAGAGTTCCCCCATCGGGGGGAGATGGGCGGGCGAGAAATTTAATTAATTAATTAATTAATTAATTAATTAAATAATAGGTTGCTGCTGATTAAATATGTCCATTGTGCATCATTAAAGTTATTAGATTTAGTCTTCACACGACACCTATAGGTTATAAATAAGATCGTCGGTTGGGTGTTCAAATGTTCTTGTCTGTCTTTGTCAGGCCTAGCCCAAGGAACTCCAAGAGACAATGCCAATTCAGTCCAGCTAT